CTTAGACAATTACATTTCTTTGTTTACATTTTGGACATCTAATTATGATTCATACTATAGTTTGTAATTATGTAAATAAATGTATTATATAAATAAATGATTATCAACTTGGTATTATAAAAAAATATATAAAGATCGAAGACAAAGAAAAATTCCTCAATCTGACAGGACTCGAACCTGCAACAAAACAGACGCAGGTTCGAATACTGTCAGATCGACGAAATTTTTCTTTGTGTTCGATCTTTGTATTAATAATTAAGCACTTTCTTGTTAGTGACACAATATTAAAGAACTCTCCAGATAAGTGTATTAATACAAACTATTTTCTATTACAAATTTTGCAGGTTCTATAAACAAAATGACTCCGATGTTACTCTTTCGATAGTGAATTCTTTTTGTTTGAACTTTCGAAAATATTGCTTTTAGGAATTTGTAAACAGAAAAGTGCTCGGTCGTCAACAGTTAGACTCTAATAATTCTCTATTGAGCTATTACGACATTCCTATTAACATACAATAGGAAGGTACACATTAACATACAATAACATCAACTATTGACATCTATATTTGCTTAACTGCTAGCAAGAATCATTTAGCCAAAAAATAGCTGCAATAGCAATAAGTGAAATATATAATTTAGCGTAATTTTAGTTTTTTTAATGGATCCGTGATGTGAAATGTGTATTTACAATGATTAAGATAGCTAGTTACTGCTTGGAAAATATAATTTGTCATGACTTTTGTCAGCACTGTACAGAAATGAGCAGTATTATCTAAAAAAATTGTGTAGGATCAAGTCTGTCATGACGCGCCATTTCGGTACTTAATTAAAGATAAGTGATGCAACAACTTGTCAGGTAAAATGACAAACGTCAGAGGTAACATCCTATTTTAACCATGTCTATAATTTTACATTATTGAACTTAATTTATATTAATGTAGGGAGACCTTTCAGCGTTTTCACAAGTGCACAATGTTGTACAGTGCTGAAATCATTCCGACAAACGATTAAGTAGATTAGCAAGCACAGTGCGAGCAGACGCTAATAGTTAATACATGTTAAGATCACCTTGTTCGGTCGTGTGTCAAGTATTTGTGTCATTGGTGACACCGCTACCGCCTACGCAACGAAACGGACTATTAGGTTCCCATCCTCACTTATCAGCGCGCATCAGCATCGCGTGTTATACTGAGCGTGTTTTTATACAGGATTTTATATACACGCTTTAGCTTCAATCGGGCTGGCGATACGATGATGGGTGCTGACAAGTGGGCTCCAACCCTTAGGCTGATCAATTAGTTACATAACCAGATTAGTATAATTAAACTTATACTATAATTATTAACTTTTTGGAGGGGTTTGTCATAATCAATGGTCAGAAAAAGGTGTTCCATATATATATATATAGATACATGTATAGTTAAAGCTACACGGAGCGACATAGAGTTGTTAAAACCACCAAATACAAATTAATTACTTTTTCGAGTTACCGACCTTTTACCAAAGTAGAGAATAAAAAAGTAACGAGATTGGTTACTCTCCTTCCCTCCCTAGCTTTAGATACCGCACTGCGCCCCGTATATTGACGGAACGGCAAGTAAGCTGTCAGCGAGCCATTCACTAAGGACACCACGTCGACTATTTGCTGTTTCGTCAATGTGACCGTCAATATTCGGGGCAAGGTGCCGCATTTAAAGCTAAGGAAGGACGGAGGGTGACCATTCCCGTTTTTTTTATTCTCTGCTTTAGTAAAAGGTCAGTCATCTACTGCTTACTTTTACATGACACCATTAAAATTACTTTAAAATCCAACTTCAACTTCCTAAGTCAGTAGTTTTGTCCTAAGATGCAGTAAAATCATTTCCGGAATCCCTAATTCGGAAAAGTAAATAATTAATATTTGGTGGTTTTAATAACTATATGTCGCTCTTTGTAGCTATAACTAGACATGTATTTATGTATGTGGAATATCTTTTTCCGACAATTGGTCATAATTGACACGTTTTGACACGGAATCGCCTTAAGCCGTACAGAAAATCTTTTACGTCGTTTCACTTCCGTTCGGATCGTTGACGCGAAAAGCACAACGTCATTTTTGCTCTTATTACATGCACACATAACGATTTTTCTGACCGCCTTAATGCGATTCCGTGTCGATAAGTGTGGTGACTAAATATATACTTTTCCGTGGTTGTCGTGACCAAGGGATAAATTCAGGAAATGGTCAACAGAGATTGCAGCTTTCTCGCGGTCGCCAACTTCCCAAACGTGTCAATTATGACCAATTGTCGGTTGAATGTAAATAAAACGAGTATTCCTAACTTACCGGTGCGCCTTCTTCTGTAAAGCACGCAGGCGATAATTCCAGCTACAAGAATCATACAGATGATCACAATAGCCGGTATGATGATCGTAACTAAATGTTCAGAGAATCCATATCCTTCCGCAGATCCTGGTTCCCTATGTCCAGTGTTAGGGGGTTGGGACGGAGGTCTATATATTTTAGTCGGGCTTTCGCAAAGTCCAAGCGGTATGAGGGTTATAGACATCACTTTCAGGTCTTTGTCGAAGACGTGATCGACGTTTTCTTTGAGAGCTCCCCCCACAGCGCCGTTTTCGTCAGCGATTATCATTCGACGGAGTTCTTGGATTTCTTTTTGGGGACAACGGTCCATTGGAAGACTTGTGTTGTACCTGAAATGGAAAATCCAATATTTTAAGGCAAATAAAAATGATTAATAAAATTGTGATTGTAATATTTTTAAATGTCTTTAAAAAAAGGAGGAGGTTCTCAATTCGACTGTATTTTTTTGTATCTATGTTAGATTTGTGAACCGATTTTGACGATTCTTTTTTTGTTGGAAAGAGGGTACCTCAGATGTAGTTCCATTTAAATTTGAAGAAAATATTCCACCTCTAAGGGTGGCAAACTATGGGGTGAATGACTTTTGAAGTCGGTTTTTTTAGTACTCTGTACTGAGATAATTTTTTTACTCGTGGTTTATTAAATATGTTTAATAAGTGTTTGATAAATAAATTATAATTGAAATTTAGTACCATAAATAATATGCTAAGTTCATTCTGGCAACATGTATAAGGAGACAGGTATAAATTCCCACTGGTGGAGATCCTAAAGGTTTATTCAATTTCATTCCACAAATTCCCACTAACGTAGTACTTGCTAGGCAGTGGGGATTTGTGGGGTTTTTACCTATTCTTTAAAATTTTTTGTTTTTTTTTTACGTCGTAAGATCATTGTAGGTATAAGATCATTGTTGGATAGATTGACACGCGGTCAGGATGGAAGAGTGTCAGATTCAATAATTAAAAAAAGGTAATTGTAAATGAAAGAAGTGGCAACACTAGTTGGTAATTGGGAGCTCTGATCGAACGGCTTGATTGTGCTTGTAATAATTATGTTGCCCGTCTATTGTTGATAATATTGTTAAGTATTGTGAAAGTGACTTTTATTATAAATACAATTCGAAGGTCACAGGTAGATGTCTTTAGCGAAAGTGTATACTATGTCATGTACACAAATTGATCACACAGTTTTTTCAAGGCCTCTTTATTTTTTATAATCTTGACAAGGACAACTATAACTTACCAAATGATAGTCGTAGGGCTATCTGTAATGCTATGTATCCGTATATTACTTGTATCCGTTTGACCGAAGAGTGCAGCCAGCTTCTCGACGACTTTGCGCTTGTTGTGCGCGTTGTATGCCAGCGCTGGAAATGGGTACTCCATAGTCATACGGAATTCTACTGTTGGGCGGATCGTAGGCGCTCTCACAACTTCCACCATTAAACTGTCGTAAGCGCTCTTTTTGCTGGAATCCTCGGCGATCTGGAAAAAAAGTTTTTTTTTTTACTATAGTATAACTAAAGCAATTTAGAACGATCGAAAAAGTTTGTCCATTTTGCTACAATTTGGAAATAAATAAACTTCTGTTTAATGCTCTGTATTTGTTGATTTATAGGTGCAGTTAGTTAGAAAGTTTTTTATTTACTATGTTCAATAAAATAAACTGTAATGAAATATTCAATTAAAATAGGCCATATTTGGAATTATCGTCCATATCACAAATTGTGGCGAGTCATTTCGGTAAAAGATACCGATTGAAACGACTGAAAATATTGAACCAAGGATTAAACCGTCAATCTACGCAATTAATACGTAATTACAATGCAGACACTCACCAATTGATAAGTGACGGAACCCTCGTCGCTGGGAGAAGGCAGACCGTAGAACTCCTGGTTCTTGGCATCGAATTGTAACCAGTGTCCGGACGGCAGTTCTGAACGGTCGCTGTAGCGGAGCGATAGGTGCAGTTTGCGAGTTCCGCCGTCCTCCGGGTCGTAGAACGTGTCCTACAATCAGTCATATATCATAATGTCGTCTGATAAAAGTTGTTTGAAGCAATAAGCTACGTCTAACTATGTAATCCGGTTTATAACCCGTCATTTACTCATTTGGCGACTTCGAGTCGCATTGTTACTTATAGTAGGCGTGCGAGTTGAAGGCATCCGGGGCTGAGTTGAAGGGCGAGAGCACCTCTCCGCGCTGTCCGAACGCCTCACACCTCACACGTCTGCAGTGTAGTGCTGTCATTAACGTTTGTCATATGCTTACTCTAGTAGTGTCAAGTGTGAATTTTTGTTTTTAAAAATGACTGAACCCGGTCCAGTCAAGTTCAGTTGCAAAAAAAGTGTCTTTATTTATAGCCAATCACAGATGATTGTTAACGATTAGATGATTCTTTCAGCCGAGCCCATTGACTTACAGAGCCAGCCCAATTTCCGGATCGTCAAAAAAACATTAGTAAACAGTATATTTAATAGAATTAATAATGAATAAATGTTATGATAAATGTGTAATAAATGTTGTTTTAATTGTTTAAAATATTTTTAAAATAATAGTAACTTATTGTTTTTGTGTTATTTTCGACATGACTGTCACTAATTCTGATTAGTTCATTAAGTCACAGCACTAGCATTACAAACATTCCTCAGTATTGCATTCAACTCGTGCGACTACAGGAGTGAGCCTGCGGTCAACCAGACTAAGGGTCGTATTCCAGAACTCTACTCAATGCTTAAGTCAGGACTTGAGCAGACTTGAGTATGATTTCAAGCACTGGAAATACGACTCTAATGGCAAGGACTTGAGTATGATTTTCAGTGCTTTAAATCATACTCATGTCCTGACTTGAACATTGAGTAGAGTTCTGGAATACGACTCTGAGAGTCCAAATGTGGATTATTGTTTCAATCAAGATGGTTTTTTTAATTTCTTTTTTTAAGATACTAAGAGACGGGACGGAAAGTCGTGCGTCTGGTACTGGTCTGAGACGTAAGTTGACAAGCCATGTGCCTGTAATTTCACCAGATCCCTTATTCTTCAAAACCGGAACAAAGGTGGCAGTACTTCTCTGGACGAACTCTTTCGCAAGGAGCTCTACAGCTACTAAAATTGATCGGTACTAACCTCAGGCACTTTATAAACAAGTAAATGTCCGACAGTGGCCGTCAAGTGATCGACTTGGTTCCTCGGTACGGGCGGGTACGTGTCCGGTTTCTTCGTGGTGGGCACCGTCTGGGTACACTGCCCCACGCCTCGCCATGACACTGCGCTTACTTTCAGCTCAGGAGACATAGCTCGCACTAAGTTCGCTGACGGCGCACCTTTCTCGCTTTCGGATTCCATTATCTGTAATAATAATTGAGTTAGATATAAAGGAACACAAAGAAATAATGGTCGACTGAAATTATATCTGTCAAACTTTTGACACGCAGGGGATTTTTTTTAATCACACCTGGATCTGTACTCACTTTATTTTTTCCCATCCTCTAAGATACTCACGTTCTCCATACAACATCTGTCCGAAACAATTACTGTCAAATAACGAATACTCGACCAAATTAAAAAACGCATGACGCGAATGAAACTTCATACTTGACATTGTCTTTTAATTTGGTCGAGTATTACTTATTGGACAGTAATTGCTTCGGACGGATGGCGGACAGAGAACGAGAGTAGACAAGGGCTGGTCTCAAACTAGAAAATTCTCCAGAGAAACGACATTAACTCTTGGACACTAACACCTATATACATAATTCATAAAAGTTGGGAATCGGACGGGAGATCTGGCTTCTGTCTACTCATCTAGCGTCCAACATGCAAACCGCTGGATCCTCAATTAACATCGTACCACATCGTAGTAGATACTAAGGACCTCCACTATTATCTTTTGCGGGGGTAGACAGATGTTTACCCCCGCAAAAGACAGGCGTGATAGTATGTAGGTGGTAATATGACAACTTTTTGATGTAGCCGTGAACCTCGTTTACTCAGCTTTATTAAATAATATACAGGGTTATTTTTAAAACACTTTTTTATAATAACAACCTCACAGAACTATATTACTAACATCATAAATAATAACTTTTGATCCATGACTTCTTATAAAATGTAATTTATCGAGTTCTTAGTATCTCCTCTGATGAAAAATTCCAAACAGACATTAAGACTGTAGTACTAATGAATATGTTTTAATTTATATTGTTAAAATAAAATAATTTGTAAACCATAATGTAACGTAAATTGGAATGTTTCATTGTAAAATTAAATATAAGGTATTTAATTTACAACTTTTGTAACTATAGTGAAAAAATAGGGTGGTTTGCATTAATATTAGACATAACTGGTTGCTGACTATACCACCTCAGTCAACCGTGACAATGGGACCTGTAAAGGGCCTGAAACGTTGGTTTGTTTGAAAAAATAAATATACGCGATTTAAATCCGGAAAAATTGTTTCATTTCCTAAAATCCAATTTACCAGAACTAAACTTTTAAGTTTTCGTAGTACTATCTGACACTTTTAGTTTTGTATTTGGTAGTAAGGTAGCAAGTTCAAAAGTGCAAGCGACCTTTTTCTGTGCGCTAGCGCTTTCTTGTCTTACCGCAGTGATCACCGTTTAGAGCGATCTATTTAAATATTTTTCTTTTTGTACGAAGGCAAATCTGATGATGATTTAATATCATGAAACAAAAGTTGTTGTTGTTTATGATATTAGTAATACGGTCAGCTTGTTAGTGTTTTATAAATAACCGTGCATATTTTTCCAGTTTGTACTTATATACTTAAAACTATCCAAAAAAAATTAACAAAGTAATTAGAACTAACCTTCATAAGTCTACTAATGCTATCAATAGGACACGAATCCTTCGGCAACGTATCGTTAGTCCAAACGAATTCATAGATATCTCCATTTTGCGTCGCGTTCAACACAGTCAACTCTTCCATATCCGTATCTCTGAATAGATTCATGATGCCTTCTAGAGCTCTTATTTGCCAATCAATGTTGTTATTGAACGGTTTGTTTAGCTTGAATTGTATGATGAATTGGTGGTTGATCGTGCGTGAACTCTTGTGTTGTTGCACGGTGATGTCAAGTGGACCGCGAGCGACAAGGCCTTCGCTGTCTTGCGCTTCTACTATGAAATTCCAGCGAGATACGTGGGATTCTAGTGGCCTGAAATGGATGTGATCATGGAGTTATGTACTTGACATTCTTGGATCTGTAACGCCTATAATACAATCGGTGTTTTGTAGAAAGGGCAAAAGCGCCATTTCGATTTTTTTTTATAATTAAATTTGAAAACCTAACTAAATCCAAAATTGAAATTTAAAACAAGACGTAAATATTTTAATAGAATCCTTAAAACCACGGAAGAAGGAAATGTGGTCTGTGGTTAAAATCTAAACCATATTCCCCTGAATTTTTTTTCATATATCGCCGATGTAAAGGTGCGTCCCTTTACATCGGCGATATAGAGTACATAACAGGAGTTTCTTTATTATAAAGAAATACCAAAGCAAAGAAACATTATGAGAAAGACGCGAAATGTCACTATGTAACAATTTCAAAAAGGTTCTGTTTCTGGTTTGATAAGTTTATTCATGTTTTTATGTTAGAACCAATTACAAAATGATATTGATAGCCCATTAACAAAAATCGTGTTACATGGTATTATCGGATCATTGAAGCGTCAAAAAAATACTCAAATAGCTTTGAAATCTGTACAGATTTATAGAAAAAAAAAATAAATAAAAACAAAACCAATCATAATGGCTCATTTTCGCTTGAAATGGCGCTTTTCACATGTAACTGATGATATGTTTTAGTACTTACAAGTATTAGACAATACAGCGACCCTATGTAAGTAGGTCTTTCTAAACGTCATCTTTAAATGAGTTAATTCTGTCTACAACATGTGATGTTATGTTAAACTCTATTTTCAGATCCGACCGAGATTATACGGATACATAAATTGCTACAATAAGATGTACTTTTTTAATTTCAGTGCTGAGGTTTGCCTAAGTATGCTGCTATTTTTATACATTTGATTAAAGTACATACTTTCATTTCTTACATGTATGTAAGAAATGAAACTGCCTTCATTCCCGAATTCGGTTTCGAAAATTTAATTGCCTAGCCTATGAGTACGGGAACGTATTTTGTATTTTATTATATATTTATTTTTTTGTATTATATATTTTGAAGCAGTCTCGAAAGTCTCGTTTTACTCGCGATTTTCGAGACTGCAGCAGCAAGTGATGGGCAGCCGGAAACTTTCCTAAATTGGAAACTTTCCAGTCTGAATGTTTCTTGAAATATTTCGGAAACATTCTCAAAACACGAAATTTATGGAAATTTACATATTTACTTTGCATTTTTACTATCGCATATTCAAGAAACATTTAAGAAAAGTTATAGTTCTATATCATGGTTGTAAAACCAAAATACTTTTTTTGAAGAAATCGGAATAAATAAGTAAACCGTAACTTCTCTTAAATGTCCATAAATTGCATGGAAATTTTCCTGGAAATTTCATACTCCTCAAAAGAATGAATGAAATAAATATTCGTAATCCACTTAGATTTTGCCACTTTTATACCGTATATGTATTAATAGTTAATATGTTGAAATTAGGGTATTAAACTTGGCACAGGAATCGTTATTATGAACCTATTTAATTAAAAAATTTAAGAACGTTATTTGTTCTGATAATATATTGTTTGTGAGATTTAGGGATAATATTAAAAATTGTGTCACATTTGTTCGATTATTAAATTATTCTATCGCCGAGTATAGTTGTAAAATTATTTTATAGGTATAGCTCTTTTAGTGTGGGCTAATGTGTGGCGGCGCGGGCGCAAGCCCTTTAAATGTTACCGTTATGTGAGAGATTCACCGTTACTTTGTCTAACGTGCGAAAGAGATAGCTCGGGTGAAAAAAAGGACAGACTGTCTTTTTGTGGCAAACACCTCAGTGTTTCACTATACCTCTTCTCATCTAGTCGTCTGTTCCTGTTTTAAATTTTATTGTAATAAATGTTTAACAATGAAGCCTCAGTCTCTAGTTCGTAAATATTATATTAAAAAAGAAGTGCTCGGAAAGGATGTCCATGAGTGCCAGTTTTGTGGACAGTTAATGCTACGCGTATGAAACAACATCTTCTAAAGTGCAGAACCCGTCCTCAGGACGTTAAAGTGTTGTTTGAACCTATAGCCGCTGTAGTTACCGCTGGTGATCAGGAAAGTCAAGGGTTATCATTACAACATTTACAAGCAAGTACGTCGGCTACTGGTTCACCTCTAACAAAAACTGCATTCGATGACGTAAGTGAAATTGTAATCAAAAGTAATTTTTTTTATTATGAATTAGGATCTTCTGCGAATAATTACAAAATTATTAATTATATAATTTTGTTTAACCATGGAATTAACGGATTTAATTGTATCATTCCAGAAATTAATCAGTGGGGCTATCGCTCGGACAATATATGTGACTGGGTCGCCACTTTCAATGCTGGAGCACCCATTTTGGAAAGAAGCTTTACATCATCTTAATCCAGATTACACTCCACCTAACAGGAAGCGAATGTCAACTACTCTTCTTGATTCTGAATTCAATGATACAAAGAATCGTATGGAATCAGCTATTAGCAATGCTAAGGTTCTTCATTTGGCAGCAGATGGCTGGTCAAATGTAAGAAACGAAGGTATTCTCAATATTTTTGTCTTTACACCAAGATCTTTCTTCTACTCGTTTGTGGATACGAAAGCTAATCGGCACACAGCTGAGTATTTGATGTCGGAGATTGCTAAAGTAATTGATAAATTGGGTCCCGAAAAATTTATGTCGATTATTACAGATAATGCATCTAATATGAAGCGATGTGGGAAACTCTTGGAAGAAAAATATCCTAATGTAATGTGGAATGGGTGTTTAGCTCATACATTACATTTGCACGTTTAAAACATTTTAAAAATTAAAATTATATCAGAGTTTGTTTTAAAAATTATAAAAGTCATAAAAACCATTAAAAAGTCTCGAGTTTTGACCGCCAGTTACAAGCAAATAGCAAATGAAAGAGACATCAAAGTCAGCTTACATCTGCCTGTAAAGACAAGATGGGCAAGCTATAGCCAATGCTTAAACACATTTTTAATATCAAAAGTAGTTTTGCAGTACATGGTTGTGAACTTAAGCAATTTCATAAAAAAACATTCTATTGACAAGAAATCACAAGCAAATGATTCTAGATGAAGAATTTTGGCTCAAAACAAAAAAGCTTCGTGATTTTCTCAACACTATAACAACGTGGATTACATTCATGGAAGGTGATTACAGCTCAGTACACAAAGTACACGAATGTTTCATAGAAATTAACGCAAATCTGGATTCGAATGTAGCTAATGATATTTTAGGTAGCACTGAATTAAACAACCTACGAAAAAAAATCATGGACCGAAGAGAGACCGCTTTAAAACCCATTCATTACGCTGCTTGTATTTTAGATCCATCGAATAAGGGCAAAGCATTAACCAGCAGCGAAAATATTGACGGCTGTGAAGTTATAATGAAGCTAGCTGAACTTATTGATACTGATACGAGTAGTGACGTCTTCTTGGAACTCTCACAGTACAAAAATCAGGAAGGCCTATGGAATAAGCAATTTATTAATGATATGGCGACGAAGTTGGAACCGGCTGCCTGGTGGAATAATTTCTTTCGGCAAACAAAATTGGGCCAGATCGCCAACAAAATTTTGGCCGTACCATCAACTTCTGCAGCAGTGGAACTATCGTTTTCAACATTTGGGAACATACACACCACTAAACGCAACAAATTAACAACAGACAGGGCTGGACAACTAAGTTACGTTTCACACAATTCGACTTTTAAACGCTCCACATAAAACAGCGAAGATTTCAGATCGATGCTCAATTGACCACCTGAACGCTGACATTGATTTGCTAACAGAACCTTATGATAGAAATGAGGACAAATGATCAGTAGCTTCCTGTTCAGATACGACATCATGGAGCAGTGATGAGTTGCATATAGATTACTATTAAGTTTTATATTTTATTTTGATTCTTAAGTTTTTTAATCCCAGTAATTTTCATAATTAAGAACCAATCTGTGATTTTGTTATTTGTTCTTGAGGTACCTATTTTAATTATAATTGTTGATTTTTGAGCACTGAATAATTTTACTATAATATATGTTGATTATTTTGTAAATTGTTATTGTTGATTATATTTTAAAACTTTATTGGTCTACAAAGTGCGACAAGCTTCTTACATACCTATTGTATAGCATTTTTTTTTATTTCAATTATTTAATACAAAGTTTTAAATCACCTTTGTTATGCATTATTTTGATCCCCACATTTACATTATCTATAAAAATATAAAATAATGAAGATGTAATGAAAAATTTCCAAAAAGTTTCTGAAATATTTCGCGGAAAGTTTCTACGAAATATACGGAAATTTAAGAAATTTTGAAGTATTTTCACGAAAATGGTATCTGTGGTATTAATAAGAATTAAAATGTGTCAATCAACTTAACTTCAAAATATTTCTTCATATGAAATAAAAAACGTTTCTGCACCAAAGTATTCAACTTTTTATGTAAATTTCGCATTTGCGAAACATTCTCAATTTACCAACCCTAGCAGCAGAGTGTTCCTACCTTCATGTTTAAGTAATCGATTGTCGTCCAGAAATAAAACAGACTCATTTATAAATAACTTTAACTAGTAACAATACGTACAAGCCATAAACTTCGCGGTTGTTTGGAATGAATTGTATCCAAGAATTCTTGCTGAGCTTTACGTTCTCGGCCTCGTACATGGTGAATGTGAGGTTGCTGCCCTCCTCCGGATCCGTGAATAAGTCAGCAGGGATTATGTATCTGAAAATTGTATTAAACAACAGATAAAATACAAGTTTTCTTATTTGTCATGCATACCGGTGAACAGACAGAACCTCGGATGGTAAGGTGCTGTGAATGTTTGGACGAGGGTTGTTGTCAAGAAGTACGAATATTCCAGTGGAAAACGTGAAATTTCGTGGCAGGGAACATTACAGCTAATGTCAATACTGCATGTTAGTACAGACATGTTCCGCCAGATACTGCCACTAACAGGTAATATCGTCGTATACAGTCAATTGCTGCGAAAATGATCGTAGTTAGAGAAAAATATTTAAAAGGCAATATTGTTCGTACAACGCATTCTGATCTGGATACAGAAGTGCAGGAATAGATATTTGATGTAAAAATATGACATGATTTACACATTTCGAAAACGATAAATTAGGACTCGAATAGGAAACGTTCGTGTTGTGTAGAATATAATGGAATAATGAATGTCAAAGAATATAATTAACATATAGAGAACCCTGTAACATAAAATTACCTAAACGCCTTTCCGGCTGTAATAGCAAGTTTCTTCATATGATGTTTCAGCGTTGGCGGCTGATTCATCGGCATAGCAAAAGTAACTGTCTCTGTAGTTCGACCGAATATCGTACTTGTTCTTTCCGTCGATGTTACCGTCTCCTGGAATTATTTGAACACCTTTTATATTAATTTACATGGACAAGTGTTGATGAACAAATTATGAACAGAATCGTATCGGCACTATACAGGCTGTTCCACGCTATACGACGCGGAAGGAAAGTACTTTAAATATTGTAAGACTTTTTTTTTTCATTCTTTCCATAAAGGAAAACGCAAAGCTTTGAAACCATATAGCAAATTTTTCTTTTATTATTATTTTTTGCTTCATCCAAAATTGCTAATGTACCCATATATTGTTTTATTTTTAAAATAATATTGCATTCAAAGATTTTTTTAAAGTTGCTTGCTCCACCTGGAAATAGAACTGACCAAAAAGTGTAAAAAAGGAAAAATGTTATGGCGCCGATCTTTGATTGATCCCTGCGAACGGTATCAAAAAATACAGGATTTTGTTTCACGTTTAGTCGGATCGATTCCCAGTTGAGGCAAGCAACTTTATAAGTCTTTGATAACAGTAATACTTATTTTTAAAAATAAACTATCTTTGAAGCAAAATATCGAAACTCAATACTTTATTGCATTCCCAAAAGTTTACAATGTAGCAGATAGACATGCTTAAATTAGAGCTTTGGGACCCTGTTGGGTACAGCAAAAAAAACCACATATCCTATCTACATTATTTAAAATAAATTCCCTGCGTGTCGCATAGCCGTGAGACAACTTGTAGATTTTTACATAATATAATACTTTATAGTTGAGTATAAACTATAAAGAATTATATTAAGAACCGTTGAAGAACGATTTCTTCATCTTCTTTTTGCTTATTGGCGGTGCCTTAAAATCTCGCCAGTATGGAGTGTCCGGGCTAAGGGCTCATTCAGAGTGCAGGCGCGGGCGCGGCGGCGGATGCGGGCGTACGGGTCTTGGCGTCTTTCCTTTCACAGTGCCGAAGCGGCTACGAGCGGGTAGATCTATATGTCAAAATCGTAAACAAACGCTACACGCTACACCTAGCACTGTGAAAGGTCCGAGCGGACCGAGCCAATAGATCTACACGCGCGGCGCGTGCGGCCGTTGTGTACGCAAGGAGTCCCTACGTACATTTGATTTACACGCACCCGCGCCCGCCGCCACTCTGAATAAGGCCTAAGTAATTACAATTACTAAACAATATATTTACATTGTAAAAATAATATAAAAATATATGGCGATCATCGCCAATGTATATGACTATGGAGAGAATACTTTTTGAATTTTGACAAGGTTACTGTTAGTCAATTAATGCCAAAACGGTCAAGCCAGAGATGTGTTATGAAATATACCAAATACCACCAAAGTCACTGCAAACTTTGTACTGATTAATTTTAAAAGAACCAAACCAAATGGTGTAATATGCAGGAGGTGATAGACGTGAATGTATAAGTAACGGTTGATCAACATATAATACATTACAGAAAGAAAAATATTACCATATTTCTTATTCTAAAATTTTTCATGTGCTCATATTTTTCATCGTTTATTTATTGTAATAAGAATTGAAATATGTAACTTACGCGCTGTGCGAGTGAATAGTATGTGATCAAGTGTAACATTTAGAATTACAAATGGTCGGCCAAAAAAGTAAGATAATGTAGCTTTTTATTTTCAATCTAGTAATTGTTCACAAGTATCAAGAAAGATAAAAACATGACTTTGAAAGATGATTTTTCACCTTTTTCTATTAGATTTTATTTTACACATAGTTGTTATTGTAACGTCTCTTTAGACTGTAGTTTCCCAAAGTGGGATATCGCCTGCCACTGGGCGTTGAAGAGTCCTAGGGGGGCGTTGAATTTTGTTTATCTTGCCTAAGTGGGCGGTGAACTAAAAAGTTTGGGAACCTATGCTTTAGACTGCCTGTTCTAGGCTACAATATGACAACTTTTTGTTTCTTAATCGGAAATAGACAGTCTAGTCTTCGATGCAATATATATTTATTTATTTATTGCTATACATGTTGTAAATTGATCTTAAAAAATATCACAGTGGCAGTAAGTACATGAACCCTGTTAGGGCATTGCAATATATTATATTTAATTTACGATGAGTCGAAGAACTCGATGACTTTTCTGGCCGCCAAGTAATCAACAAACCTGCGTCGTGACATCCTCCACAGTGGTCTCTGTGATCACAGTGCTTGGAGTTTGCGTCGTGGGCAGCATAACGGGAACTGTCGATGTTATGGTCGCTGTTGACGTCAGTGGCGTGGGTGACGTAACAGGAGTTGTCTCTGGCGACGCAGCCACCGTTTCTTGAGAAGTCGGTTGGGGGGATGGCGATGTGGTAGGTTCGGGTGACGTCATAGGGAATTCGTTGGACGCACGTATTACAACCGTTTGCTGAAAGTGCCATGCCGACTCACACAATGTGATGTGAAAGGGTTATTTATACACGTATAGACAACGGCAATTGAAGAAAGATAGATATATTTCACAGAAAGTTGGAAAAAGATCTCTACAGTTCATCTATAGTTACTTTCACCATCCATTTATTTACACTTATACCCAAACATTATAAAGTTGTGTTCCTTTGTACATGTACACAAATAATTACACAATATTAAGGTCATTGTAAACAATTCTAAATGTTTTGTAAACGTTGTCTGTACGTCAAAAGATTAGTTCAAAGTATGGGGGTGTGAACCAGGCGTCTATTCTACCCCGGGGTTAGAGTTAGTCCACACTATGTGGACTATGAAAATTAGTCTACTTGTGAGTTCATGTCAGGTTATTGTTGCGGTGAAGCTGTGGTATTTTCATGGTCGAAATCTTGTTAATTTGTAAATTGAGCTACCTATTCTAGCAAGTAACATTGGTCTTTCATTTCGTTATCTGAATTTAATTGGTTACCAAAAAATAAATTATTTGCATTTTAAATTTTTGGCTTTGCACGAAATGTAAATGTATACTTATTAACAACAATGCACATGTTATACATTTTTTATTATCAGGAATAAAGGTTTCAATTTCAAACCAACAATACACTAAAATTCCAACAGCTTCAACAATCCATAAGATTGTATTAAATTCTAAGACATACCGTTTCAGCTTCAGTAGTCATATCAGGCATTTCCTCCGGCACGATGTCTATCCGTCCATGGCCGGCGATACGACGTGGATTCACAGGTAGAGAAGTGTAGTTCTTAATGTTACTCGATTCCGACGCGGATTCAGAGTAAGGTGTGATTCGTACTTTGTGTTCCTGACGAATGAGAATTTGAGAGTTACACATTTGTGTTTTGTTGATGACGTTGACTAGAAGCTTTAGGTTTTGGTATGCGACATAGGAACTTTCCTCGACAGGAGGGTTTGGCTCGACTCTATCAATAATCCAAATTATAAATAAATAAAGACACAGGTGGTGTGACTTCTTGACCTACTTGTAACCAATACAAGTAGGTCAATACAAACACCATAAACATTATACTACACTGAATTGAAACCGCTTAACAGGAAAATAACGCTCATCGACGAAGGTATCATTAAAATATTCCATTGTACCCTTTTTTTTTGTTTACTTGAGATATGACAGGGACTTACTATACTATTTTTTCATAAACTTGTCTTGAATAAATGTATCATGCTAAACAAACGGTATTCATGCTAAATATTAGGGAGAATTCGAGTAAAATGCAATTTCTATATTTCATCATTGGGCAAAAAGAACCGCAGGCACTCGAACTATTCATAACGAGTACATACCGGACGTTCAATCCAATACTGTCACTATATCAAAAAGTCTACTTTCGGTAAATGGCGATTAATTTCTGAAAATAAGTAATGATAATATAAATGCGTTTAATTGAAAGAAGTTATATACAGTACGGCATTTCCGTTAATTAACTTTATGATAGATATTTATTTATTGAATTTAATAATGTTTAACTACCATGATTGTCATATATTTTTTGTGACAATATTCCACTAGCTTGTTATTATTATTGATCCAAAAATCGAACACAATTCCTTAGATCTGACTGGTTTCGAACCATCCTCTGTTGCTAAACCGGGGTCACCGTTCTGAGCGTCGATTCAATATGTTTAATGTTACTATTAAATTCTATTTTAAATACATATTTCGTTAACAGTTTGCTGTAAAGGTTATACTGACATTATCTAAGTATTTTTATTTTGGCGACACTCTTGCGCATAGGGACTATACTAGCATTATTGACAGCCACGTTACTATCGAACTAACGTCGGTAAAGTGATTACGGGCGTAATGCGTCGAAGGTAATATTAACACTAGTGACATCTAGCTAAAATTAGGAAGCCTATGGCACAAGCTTTTGCGTATTAGAGATAGCTTTGCCACGCGAGTAGCATGGCGCGAAATTTGAAAAAACGTGATTTTCGTTTAGTGACGGTATTGGTTTCAACGTGCGATATATTAGTTTTAAAGACAAATCTAAACTTACAGAGCATACAAAAATATTTTTTTAAACTTCATACTTAATTACAACAGATAATAGACATATAACAACTTATAGCAATGTCTATATAAATACACATTATTTAAAAAAAAGTTAAATAATACAAACCGTACTTAACATTGAAAGCGATTCAAAAACAGACGTGCAAAATATAAAAATAAAACATGCAACGAGGCACACAATGAAATCGGTGGGCAGTCTCCGAACGTAAAGGAATCAACAATATAATTAACCTGCAACTTAGTTTATATAGAGATAAAGGTTTTGCGCCTTGCAAATTTGATCATCACCAGTTTCAGTGTAATAAGTTTCCAAGTATATATAATAAAAAAGTGCATAGTCCGTTTTATTTTGCCATTAATAGTCTTAGAAACATGGTATCGGTGTTTATGTATTCCTATAATAACGTCGGTTCTTTATGTGTTAACATCGTGCTGAAAACGTTCTAGGACTGGAGGTAAATTCGAATCCGTTGGAGACGACACACCGATAACGAGACACACAGGACACAAGCATTTGAGCGGGTTACGACAAACCTCCGTAGTATACGTATTAGTAGAGGCGGGCTCAGGAGTGGTTTCTTCCGCGGTGATCGGTTCCTCAGTGGTGGTAGGCAAGGCGGTCGGCGGGGGCGCGGGAGACGGAGTTGTATGGGGAAGAGGAGGGACAGGAGTAGGGGGAGGAGAAGGGGGGAAAGTAGGGGGAGGAGTAGGAAAAGATGTAGATTCGATTTCGGTGTCGGTGAAGACAGGAAGGGTGGTAGTGGTTGTTGTTGTGGAGGTACTGGTTGTGGTAGCAGCGGTAGTAGTGTCGGTCTGAAAATCGGTGTTGGTGTCTGTCGCGCTGGCGATGGCGGTCGACTCGCCGTGGTGGTGGCGGTGGGGGTGGGCGGGGGCGGGGGTGAGGGGTTCCGGCGGGGGGTCCACCTGGCAGCGCGTGCCGCGACATACACATGGTTAGTACTGCCACCCATTGGACGAACCCTTGTGAGCCTTGTACGTGGTCTTTTTGATACGTGTTGATGTGCACGATTTGGTTTATTTCTTGTTTTTTTTTATACAAATACACAAAATACAGCGACTTAGTTACAGCATAATTATGTACATTGTAACCTTTCGTTTCCATCACACAATACACTGAAATCCGGTTAAGTGCTATTTATAACATCAGTGCTTTTTGCCAGTGCTTCGGATAGTTTTTATATTACAGAAGCTTATTTACCAAGTTTTTGTATTTTTACTATCATATTAACCACAGACAAAGCCCACGTTAAAAATCAAAAACCATTTCTCATAATGTTTTGTGGACGATATGACTTCTTTGTAATTATGGAATGATTTTAGATGTCTATGACACGTTCTTGCACGAAATGAGTCGGTATGAACATGAAGTTGTTTTGTTTTATTTACCAATAGGTAAAATTTAGTTCCAGGTATATAATTTCGTATGGTATATGCGGTATGGTTTATGAATACATGACAAAATACAAACATAGGGATTTACAATACAAAACAAATGTTTTTAATTGAAAAAAGAAGACATAGGGGAATAATTACATTTTATAAACAATATGTCATCATAGGTAACGTCCTCCCAAGGTAGACGACAAAATTAAATAGGGTATTTGACAACTTTCGATAATCAAATGTTTTCATTAGCATTAAAAAATAGACACAATATAAAACTGAGTCAAAATTCGTTCAAAAATAAAATTTTGATCAATAGGATTCGAAAAAAGGGCAATATTTGTTTGTGACGTCTTAACCGTAATAGCACCAGACAATTTGCTACAAACCAATAAGCTTCTATAATAAATAGGGTTTCCCTGTCCCGACTTAAGTAGTTGAGATAACAAAATAGTGGATGCAATATTTTTTATGTCAAATACCTTATTCACTAGCAAGTGCCATTTTTAACTGGCTACTGCTATGCAATCAATACCTTTGACCGACATTAGAAGAGCTGTCCCCGTGTGCATTTTGTCGTGCAATGAAAGGACTGATTAAAATAATGACATGTATATTCGTTGAAGTGAAAAATCGTAGGAAATGGTAATCATTCAACATTCCATGCTATATGTGACCCTATGGATGCTCTATGGCTATGGTCATGGCATGACATTGATGTGGTGGTGCATATGCATTCATATTTGAACCACTAACTTTGTTCATTGGAAATATAACTAATAATCTGTTTTTGTTTTTGTATTGTGGTTTAAGTATCATTATTGAATAATAATAAATTTACATCTTAATAATGTTAACAAATAAGTATTATATAAAAATGTACAATCGTAGCGAGGTACGATATCGCAAATTCAAGCAATAAAATATTATACAAGTTGTAACTTGTGTCAAACCGACAAAAGATGCAACTGTTCGAGATCTTCGATAAAGAAAGTACCTCATTAAATCAACTGACATATTTACAGAATAATAATGTTCCAAGTTATTTTCCAACAAACAAATAAATGATGCACAAACTAACAAGTAATGGATGACAGACAGAAACCATGAGGGAATGACACAGAAGAGATTATGACTTTATGTTTGATATCGATATTATCAAAACAGCAGACCGAAGCAGTGAAGCGTTTAGTACACGTACTGCTGTGTTTTAGCTTCGGTTTATGCCGTATTTCAGTGAAGGAGCAAAGAACCGTATTCAGAGTTTTTTTGTATTCTATGAGATGTTTTAATTGCTAAATTTAAACCGGAATTCAATTATATTTTCAAATTTTTATTGCTCTGTCTTCAACGATGTCCGTTTTACTCTTTTTGTAACACTCTACCTATCACATAAAGCACTATCAAAACAAAAATTACTTTTTCAAAATTAAACTTTTTATATAAACGTAATAAATCTTTTTCTTTTAATAGAAAAAAAAAGAAATATAACTCTGAATACAGCTCTCTAGACAACATAGAACACCGAAATAGCAATTATTCACACTCACTTGTTCGATTCCGTCGGGTTCGAGGTCCACCCGACCGAAATCATCTTCATCGTCACCGTCGTCGTACCCGCTATAGTCGGCTTCATCATCGCCGTCGTAAGTCTCGTATGTACCCGACCCTTCGTCTAGTGGTGACTGGAACAATTATAATTGAGATTGTTATGGAAATTACATATATATTGACAGTCAGTGTTTTGTGCGTAGTCCGTGCAGGTGTAGTAAATTAAATATTACCTATATTCTTTGCCTCAAATAGATTATTACGTAACAGCATGACTTTGAAAACAAGGCAGGTAAGGTTCAGGTAGAATTAAGGCTAAGTTCCCTTGATCTGGTACTCATAGTACAGTACAGTAAGTCTGGTACAAAATATATTTCGAGTTTATAAGATTGACATTTACAGCACAGAAAAGACAAGGGTATAATTACATTTTAAAAACAATATGCTATGGGCAAAGTCCATCTAAGGTAAACGACAAAATTATAGGGTATTAGACAAGTCTCGGCAATGAAATGGTTTTCTCATGTGTCTATTTTATAAATAGACACATGTGATTTTTCTTATGTTTTTGTTTTATTTGCAATCATTTTCAAACTATAAGCAAATGCGTGGGATAGTAAGTTTCACATGTCGAGCGTGTCCTCCAGTGACAAGACTAGCTTCAATCTCAGCTTGCAAACGAAATAGTTTGAAACTGTGACTGCGTCGAGTTTGTTGGTACATACGAGTCAATTAACATTTATAGAGTAGGAATTTAGTAGTAGTTTTTCACGAAAGTCCTAGATAAATATAGTCTAAATATGTGTTTTGTGAAGTGTGATTTCATGTTACGTCCCGCTCGCACGGCGGCACCGTCTCTTTCGCACGGGTGGCATGACAAAGAAAAGTAGGGACGGGTATATGGCCCTTAGCGCGCGAAGCGTCATTCCATTTCCGATTGCAATTTAGACCCGCAACGCGACTATACGTGACAGGAGATTCATCGATTCCAATCTAGACCCGCAAGGCGACTATACGTGACAGGAGATGCATCGATTACAATCTAGACCCGTAACGCGACTACACGTAACAGGAGATTCATCGATTCCAATCTAGACCCGCAACGCGACTACACGCGACAGAAGCTACGATTTCAATCTAGACGCGCAAGGCGACTATACGTGACAGGAGATTCATCGATTCCAATCTAGACCCGCAACGCGACTACACGTGACAGGAGATTCATCGATTCCAATTTAGATTCGCAACGCGACTACACGCGACAGAAGCTACGATTCCAATCTAGACCCGCAATACACGTGATAGAAGGAACTCTTCTAAACCAGACCCGCAACGCGACTACCATGACAGGAGCTCTTCTTCTAGTCCGCAACGGTAGCGTGACAACACATCAGAGAAGCCATCAAGACTGCCAGCAAAGCCTTTTTCTTCCTTCTATCAATTGTGGTTCGTCGAAAGGACCCACAGTAATGAGTAAGTAATTTGGAATAAATAAGTTTATAAAAGTAAATTCATGTCGAAGTACCTGTCTTTTCGGCCTGGGCACAGGTTTGAGTGCAAGCAATCTCCAACCGAGCACAGACAATCTCAGCGTATGCGCCAGAGTGCCATCACGCGACTGCTCTCTCAGTCCGGCCACTAGAACCTTATGGCGGGACCATAGCTTGTCGCCGCAACCCACCTGCAAACACGTGATATTCAAAGTAATACTTATTTACTTTATTACGAAGTTCTTCGATGACATATACTACAGCTAGTTAGTACATAGCAATACATAATAGTTGCTAGGAAAGAAATATAATAATAACAACGCTTCACTGTGTAATAAATAAATCAACGATAAGAAACAACGGAAAATTAAGTTTCCGAAAAGTATTTCGTTGACTTCCACAGGGATGGAGTTATAAAAGAATGAGCACGATGTACAGTAACTACTTCTTTAATTATAGCTTGTTTCTCCATACTCTCTCTAATGTATAAAGATACTAACGTTAAGATAGATGGCGGTAGTGGCGTCGCCACGCCTCCGCTGTGTCGTGCCAGGCCCACTCATGAGTATCGTTTGGATTTGTGAGGTATCTGATTTGTATGGTTCCATCCAGAATTCATCCTGTAAAAAACAGAATACAAATTGGTATGAAGTTTATTGTTAAAAGTGAATAATGCAAAACTACAAAATAGTCACGTGCAGACAAAAGTGCGATATCTGTTGACTTGAATGTTAAACTTTTTTTTTGAGATAATAAGTGACGGGACGAACAAGTTGTGCGCCTGCTGGTAAGCGACATGCCTACTCAGCTACTTAGAGCTTTAAATCATAAAGATCTGAGGGGCACTGTCCTTGCGCCCGTCGACCTGAGACATAAGTTGACAAGTTCTACGTTCCTGTAATTTCACCAGCACCACAGAATTATAAAATCTACCTACTATGATCAGAAGTACTGCCTCCGTGGCCGAACGATTACTATTCGAGAACCCGGGGGTTCAATTCCTGGGCTGAGAGAAATATTTGTATGGCCTATATATATTATATCTCTCGTAAGGCTGGGTGTAATTTGTGGTTGGCTATGTGTATGTCCATAGCACCCGCGATACAAGGTTTTCCCTAGTGCGGTTATAAGTGTGTGCGTAATTATTATTATTAATATTACGAACAAAGTCCCTCACCCCTTCAAGCGCCATGAAATTGGCAAGGTCCATGAGCGCTCGTATCCTCTGCCTCGGAGCTATCTGCTGGAAGGCGACGTCGATCAGTATCACTAGGACCAGGTGGTTTTCGTTGTTGTGACATATCCCGTACTTTGAGTATGGCTTATCTTCAGCTTTCTTAACCTGGAAATAATATTTTACTTGGGATTACTAATCAAATCAAGAATTTAAAGAAGTACGAGAACAAGGTCCATGTAAAAAAGTATTATTTGTCATCATTCGCATAATAAATATAAATATAATCATTAATATACACGTCGCTTTTTTTAGAGTGAAAACTTCAAATATCCATTTTTACTAAGTTACATTTTACTGATTTTTGTTGAAGCAGAACTTATAAACCTCTTGTTTAATATATTTCTAAGTAATACAGCATCTGAAAGAATATAATTTATTTAATTAAAATGCAAACTACAAACATTATTGTGTTTATTATATTTTAAATTAAATTCTGAAATATTACATAGAAATCATATATGACGTATATACTCTAAGTCAACGATATATAAATAAAGGACAAGGTGTTCTAATACACATTGACATTCCCTTGAATTAGTTACTTAACTAATGCCTCAATCTATGCCCTAGTAATGCCCACATTACTGCTGGGCCGCAGAAAAAGTAAGGTGGCAGTACTTGCCTCGCCGAAATCTTTCACAAGGAGCTCTATTACTTCCATAATAATTATACTTCGTATAAATATTTCCCGTAAAATAAATTTTACGTTCTAGTTCTTTTTGTTTTCGTAACCATGCAAATATTTATGACGCATATTGAATTAAAAGTAGCGTTTGTTTTGGCGATCGAAAACAATAATTCAAATTTGTGAATGTACAATTTTGTTTTTTTACTTCACTTTAAGTTATTGGTAGTCTTTAGCAAGTGGGTAGCGAATATTTAAGGCTATATTTACAAAACGAACTTTGACTTCAAATAAGCAAAAGTGGCGAGCTAAGCAATTTTTTCATATTTAGAAAACGAACTTTGCCTAAGTTTAAGTAAGAAATTAAATTAAACTTTGAGTTTCTTTCGTAATTTCTTGCTTAAACATAGACAAAGTTCGTTTTGTAAGTATGAACATCTTGCTAAACTCGCAATTTTTGCTTAGTCGAAGGCAAAGTTCATTTTATAAATCTCAGCCTTAGAGCTCTAAACAAATATAAACTGCTATTAAACTTTATAATCTTTGGACATTGTTACGTAGGTTACTGACTATCCATAGTCCCAATTATGAAAGCTCAACACTACTGTGACCTGCATACGATCTATTGTTATAACCACCGTTTAAAGCACCCAGGAATAAGCTTACCGCTTTAAATAATTCTATATGTCATCTCATAAGAGCATTTTCTTTATAAATTATATGTCACTAAAGCTGTCATCATCGCCAAATTGTTACAAATAGCACAGGTACAAGTATCTACTTAGTTATGTATTTATTTATATTGAATGTGTGAAAAGTAATCCAAGCGGACGGAACGAGCACGAGATGGCAGCGTTCCGTGACGGTATGCGCGTTAGTGCCAGTAGTCAGGAAATTTCCTATTTAGTTATGTAATATTAAAAAAAAATTATTTACGACATTTTTGAACATAACTTTACAATCTATAAAACAAAAACCGATACCGATATCAAAAGTTAGTGGAATTACATCTATTTGCCTAGTTTTATTGAAATCGGTTCACGGAAAGTGGGTGAAGGCCAATAAACCGGATTCAGCCCTTAATTTGTCACCCTTAGAGGTGGAATATTTTTTCGAAATTCAATGGTGCCACTACTGAGGTACTCTTTTAAAAAATAAACACCAAAGTCGCTTCACAAATGACGGAGTAATCGCATAATATACACGAAAAAAATACAGTCTATTTGAGACCTAATCTTGTTCTGGAAGTCGGTAAAAAAAAAGTATCGTTTTTCTATTGTTCAGTACAAACATATTTTTGTATCAGGATTCTTGTATATAAGGATTGATAATGTATCCTCTAGGCTCTTGCTCCTATTATATCGATGAATCGATGATAATTGACCTAAATTCTACTAAGAAGTTAGAAAAACTCACAAAATAATTTAAATTTTGTGCAATGTTCAGTCGTTCCTACATTATCACGTGGTGTTACCCACTAAATTCTTTCACGAAATGCTCAAAGTTCGATAGGGTTCTATGAAAGTTGCTACGTGCCAGATGCCGTCATGTGCATGTCTTTGTCGATCGTAAATCCTCGTAGATAGCAATTAATACATACGTATACGTATCATATGGCTATTCGAGTACTGACCTCAATAGTAAAGGAGTCAGTGGCAGTGAGGCCGTGTGTACGGCCATGGGCAGTGACGGTGAAGGTATGTGCGCCTAAGTCTTGTTTCTGCGGGATGCCGCTAATGATCCCATGCTTAGAGTCCACTGCTAGCCAGCTAGGGATGTGTCGGCCATCCTCACTTCGAACCTAAAAAAGATGTGTAGAATGAATGTTTGTGAAATTTTAAAAAGAAATCTTTGGATATTTAAAGTTTGTGTGAGGGCGCGTTTCCATTATGTCGTGACGACAGATAGTCGTTTAAAGTGTCGTTGCTTGTATATTTAAATGAAGTTGTTCACATATAGTACAACACGATTAACTGTCGTTCACGATCTTTTTTACTTTACGAAGATAGTCTGTCAAAACAATGGGAAGAGCTAGAACGACAGTCGTCTGAGGATAAATAAAGCGTCACGATGAAAATGTGGCGACAGCTAATCGCAGCTACTATTGTCGTCGCGTTTTATTTATTGTTGTCGCATATCTGCAAACGACAAGGCGGTTGCCGTGAAACGATAAACTGTGATCACAATTCAGTGGGAACAGGTAGGCATGATTATCGTTCAACGATAACAAAACGGTACACGACACAGTCGCGACAGATAGTCGTGATATGGAAACAGGCTAGACGCTACAGTCGTCCAACGATAAACAAAACTTTACGACATAACGCGCCCTTAAGAAAACTCGTATTTAGGACTAAATAGGGTTTTAAACGCTTTAATTCATTCATTACTAGTATTTAAGGATACTTGAAGTACCGTATGACGAATACTTATAGAATAAAGATACGTTTTTAATTATTTCCCAAATAACTTTTGTGTGTTACTGATATGATGAAATTTTATCCATATTAGTGTAGTTGAAAACTCCAGTGTCAACAAACGTTAATATATCTTTACTTAAAGACCCTTCCTTACATTTGTAAGGTTTCAGGTCGAAAAGAAATTCCCAAGGTTTCTGGCTCGTAACTCGAATGTAATAAAACCTTTTGGAATGTCATCGGCTTCTTATTGGCCACGAAAATAGATAGTGGATCATTAGTGTGGAAATATCAGGGATATCGCTTTGCATCAAAACATCCAGAAGTATCAAATGAAATACTCTTTGAAATAACAGATGATGCCATAAAGTAGGTCAAATAAGAAACGAAAGTGTACCTTATAAGTATTAACTGGTCCGGAGAATGCTTCTTTGGGGATTTCCATACGGAATAGGTGTCCCACGTAGGCCGATGTGTCTGGAACACCCCATAACCTTCTTAGGCCATTTTTTTCTATTTCTGAATGATTCAGCTGTAGTTCCACCTGCAAGAAAATTCCGTTCATAGATATGCAAATTGCATGTTTCGTTTGTACATATAATTTTGTGTAATAATGTGTAAACATTGAAATAAAATGGGACTGGAACATGATGAATAAGAGCATGGAATATTTTGGAAGATGTTATTTACCTGAAACTCTTCACTATTGTCAAACGCGAAGTCGTCGTCGAGGCGGCTGAGTGCCAGCGGGCACAGCAGCAGCAGCGTCCATCCGATATACGCACCATACTTCACGTACCCCATTTCGCCCCGCTACCCGCCCCGGCAGACGATCTCATAAACAACTACTACCGTTCATCTGTAAACAAAAACACAATACGTTGATCAATGCAATTAGAAAGGCATGGGTAAACATATTGGGGAAACATTAGACAAGATGTTTGCAAAGCTGTTGTTTGGACAATCTCTGTTGTGTAAGCTTGAGTCCGTATTGGATCTCCCGGTACAAGCAAAAAGCTTGTACCGTTGGATGATGTGGCGATTAGTTCGCTTAATAGTTTCGATAGAAACGACATGACTTAGCAATTGAGAAACAAGCAAAAGTTTTGGATTGTAACAAGACCGTCCTTGTAGCGTGCGGCCTATTTAGTAAAACGCCAAGATTTGGCTCGTGCTTTGGATTACCAACGATACAAATTAGTAGGCAACTGAAAAATCTGTTGGAAATATTGTCTACAAATGACTTTAATAAAGGAGGCGTTCGAAGGAGGCGGGCTGAGCTGGCAAGCGGAAACGGCTCGGGTACTGTTACACAGTTAAAGGCGCGTGGTGGCGCATAATGATTGGACGCAAATAGAACGAGCTTTTGAACGCCTGCCTTGCTTAGCATGCTGTCGCGAAACCACTTCAGGGAATTCTTTTACATTCTTATAGGATAATGTGGCCACTCGTGTTGAGGCGCTATTTGGAGGAAATGTTAAATTTCATTTACGAGTGAGACGCGCTCTCGCTGTAGTTGCATCGAGGCAATTCTCGTGGGCATAAAACGGTTTATTTTAAGTTAGATATCGTTACGACAAAAGAGGTTCGACAAGTTAATTTAAAGAACTGCAATAAAAAACGTGAATGATGTACGAGGAAAAGTCATAGCGCAATCTTCAATAGTATTCTTCTTGGCTAAGCGTTTTATCGACCTACAAATGACCAATGTTTTAGCTTTTATCCTTTTGCAGGTATATCAATAAACTACGCCAATAACACATTAATGCATATAAAAAAGTACCGAAGATATATACGTATTTCACGAACAACGAAGAAATAATTCTTTGTTTCGTTCATTTAACAGATCACCTGAATTGATTTTGATGCGTAAGTTTTTCGCTCCGCAGTTTGAGTATTCCCTTGAGCTATAAGAAAGGAAAACTCATGCATCTTCTAACTCACTTACAGATGCATAGCTACCGGATAGTAAAAAATTGAAAACAAAGATTTTCGACATTTCCTTACATAGGAATATCAATTAGACGTAGTCAAACAAAAAGGAACCCATGCACATCCAGTCACTTTCGAGATATGGCAGTTTAAAGTTTACAAGTGTTTCTCACTCTTGTTTTATATACAAAACTTATGATGTCATGTAACTCCCATATAAATCATTTTTTGATAATGTTGCGGATTGTATCCATTTTGCTTAACTACGTCCAATTGAGAAAGAATTGCAAGTTTCGTGTTTGCTATTAATTTGACTTGCCTTAAAAGTGTCTTTGCTTAAAACCCACGTAGTCTCTAGAGTCTGTTTGATTTATAGAGAATTTGTTAAATGCGTCATTTAGTTTTCACTTCATTAAATATTCGATATAGAACTGTTTGAGTTGCAAAGATTTATTGTTAGGTCATAAGTAGGCATCATCGAAATAGCATCATGTTGTACTGCGTCGCAAGAATAATTGGGACATAACAAAATCTCTGAAGAGCCACAAAGACAAGAATGATAGGTAAGTATGATTAAAAGTTAGCAAAACAAATAAATTGGGGGAATGAGAAAGCAGGGTCTCGAAACAAATTGGCAAATAAAAATAACGATGGTTACTAAATTAATGAGGAGACAATTCTTACAGAATGACGGAGGAATATAAAAATTAATGAAATAAAATAGTCATATATTAGACTTTAGAGATTCTATGTTTTATTTTTACATTTTTATGTAATTTTACAATTTTAGGTCCATAGCCTTAAATTGTCCCTTTTGACGAGGTAGGTCATATTTCTTGGATGTAATTTGGAATGATGGTCTTTTTCTTAAATTGAGTTCTCAGTAGGTAATTTCTAGATAGGTCGTTATGTGTTTTTTTTTTGGTACAAGTGCCAAAGTGTACAGTTCTATTTAATAACAAAAATTACGGAATATTTTTATGAGATAGCTAAGTTTGATGCAAGTCATGAATTAGTAAAAGAATATGTTACTTAAATGCTTAATAGAACTTATTTTAATTTAATTTAACTGCCTCCGTGACCGAATAAATATCATGCTGGAAGCATAGGTCCCGGGTTTGATTCCCAGGCCGGAAGAAATACATTTATTTGCCTCGTGAGTTTAGATGTAGTTTGTGGTTGTCTATGTGTGTCTCCATGGCACCGATACAGGGTTTCCCTTGTGCGGGGTTTTAACAAAAAATAGAGATCACTGGACCTCATTCTAGTTATGTACTTTGAATAGAACTATACACTAAATTCATAGTACAGAGTTCGTTGCTGTTTTCGTGTGTACCCAATTGAAATTGTGAAATTAGTTTCTTGTAAAAAGAAGGTATTTCTTATTAGCACCATATGATAACTTGAGTATTACCTTTAGTAAAGGAGTTAGCGCAGCGAGGTTACTGATTACGAAAAGTTGATAAAGTTCAAAAGATATCCATGTCATAAATAGCATCTACTTTGGTATACAATATTTTTCCGTACACGTCAAATGGTAGGTTTGTAAAGCATTACATAAAACAAATTACGAAAATGACTAACGAGCATTCCAATTATTAGTGAGCACGAGACGCCGAAACATTTAGAAGACGTGCTTCAGATAAAAGCCGGCCGGGAAATTAGCGCACAGCATTAAACGACCGAGACGTTGATTTTATTTACTGTCATTATGCTGTATTCGATTTAATATAAATAAGTCGTTAGACTTTGGGGTAATTGATGATCGTTACGAATAGCCACAATAATGAAATTCAAACATTTAAATTAAGTGAATCGGAATATAAATATTAGTATGGAGTTCCACAAGGTAGTATTTTGAGATTGTTGCATGACGCGCCTAAAGCAATCCACGAGTCAATGGTGCTCTATGCAGACGATTGTATAATAACATATACTAACGCAAATGAAATAAATAACCATCTAATTTCATTAACAGAACTGTTTGGAGAGTAAGTAACTAGTAAGATAAATAGAATATAAAGAAACCTACGACATAGAAGACACAGATATCACGTTTTTAGAAATTTGATTGATGGCAATTGAAAAACACTATTAGAGAGTCTTTGTACTAAACTCAACACTAATTATATCATAATAATCCACGCTTTAAATGGAAATTTAGTTCTTCAACCATATCATGGTTACGTAGATTCCACATTAACATACGATGTAACATTGAACAGATAGCTGCAAACCATATTTCAAGCATCATCGACTACTCACTAATCCTTCACTTTATAAGCAGGAAACTGTCGTATACGTCCGTACGCTTACACTTTACAAACAGTACTAAGATCTCACCTAAATCTTAAAATACTCGTATCGGCCCGTTTTAAGGAATCCCGAGTCAATCCAAGCACACCGCCTCAAATTGCCTATCCTCTTTGTGGCGGCCTTATTTACAGAAACATAATTAAACTTCATGTTTAGGCTGATGGCTTTGCCAAAGCCTTAATAAATTAAAAAAAAATTAACTCATTGATTTGGGTAGGCAAAGGTTATATGTATACAGCCTCTTCGTATATTATTTTCCTAGTTTTGATAGAAAAAGCTACAAGTTACTGTTCTTACATAATCTTTGACATTTGTACGTATGCTTTCAATTTTCTTGGTTTGTGTGCAACGATAATAGGACCATACAGTTCAATTTGACGTAATTCAATTGTTATTAGAGCGTATTTTTCTCTCTTATATTATAACGACTCAAATTCGGATCACCGCGTTCAAATTTTTCAAATTTTTACTTAAGTTTTTGTAGCAGTAGAGCTTATTGTGAAATATACAATATAGTTTTATCTGTTTACGCATAATTCAACGTAGTCAAAGTAGAGAAATAAA